AGAAGTGGGATCGAAGAGATTTGGCCAGGCAGCAGCTCTTGCCTCTTGGATCATTCTGCTTTCCCTGTTTTTCCTTTAGGTGACCTTGAGCATCTTTGAACTGGCCACAGCCACCGGGGTACCTTGTGACATTGACCCAGCCCTTGTGTATGCCCTTTCTAACTTGAAGAAAGGTAAGAACCAGGCTTGCCAATGTTTCTGTGGTCTGTTACATTAAGGAGGCATTCACACTTACTTTTTTGTATCAAGGAGATCCAGGTCTCCAAGGTGATGCAAAACTGGATCAATGTTCTCACTACAGGGGCATAAGCTTTATGTCCCTGAATCTCCCTGAGGCAATTTAAACCACCTCCCCATTCACCCTAGCCACCCACTGGAAAGGAGATAGTGCCACCTCCATTTCCCGAACTGCTGTCACACAACCCAGATCATTTTGGTAGCATACTACAGAAGATCCGGATCAAAAAAAAAAAAAAAAGATGCAGTAAGGAACCTGGTGTAAAATGCACCAGGTTAAGTGGGGCTTTCTTCAGCCTCCCCACAAATGGCACCAGGTGCATTCAGTGCCAGTCTGAACACTGCAGAAATAATTTCACACATTTCACAGAAATAAGAGGCTGTAGAGAATGTTTTCTTGTATCATCACTTCAAGAGCCTAGACAAGGCAGTTTTTCTAGCACTCAGAGAAGCCGCACAGGGACTCTTTCCAGGCTGTGCATCATCTCAGCAATAATAAATATTTAACTCTGTCCCCAGGAGCTGTCGCTGCTTGGACGCTGTTGCTGGTTTGTTTACATTTAAAAGGCCCACTCCCAAGCTTTATTCAAGAATTTTCAGCTTTCCTGCATGTTGCTTTGCAACTTTTGCAGTTGGCATTGCCCAGCTTTGATTCTTGCATTACATATATTGCTGCATCCTACCATTGGTTTCAGTGTGTCCAGTTTCTTTTCACAACCACACTTATTAATTGAATATATTCCATGGCCATGAAGACATTAGATGTGTTTTCCACTGCCACATGACTTTACTTCTCTGTTATTTCCCTTTATTCTTTTGCTTTTCTTCACATTGGATTTGAACTCTCCATACTTAGGTAGCTGGTATTAGTGTAAGACTGCCCTGTATGAGCCTTAACTGAACTCAGGTATTTGATTACATAGCAAGCAGCTAGAACCCTCTACTGGTATTCAGATGACTGCCTTCTTTTATGGTTACTCTATATGGTGTATTAGAATCATAGATTCATGGAGTTAGGAGGGGGCATAAGGGCCATATTGTCCAACCCTCTGTCATGCAGGTATTCACATGTAAAGTATCCCTTAGAGATAGCCAGTGGTTAAGTGTGTGACAACTAAACTTTACCTTTGTGAGGTATGTGATGGGTCTGACAGTGAATAATTCCATTGTGTAATGATAGGGATGGTCTAAATCTTTTCCCCTTAATTTAACTCCTCTACACCAAAGCTAGGGCCTAAATGCCTCAAAGGCACTAGATCCCTTTAATCTTGGAAGCTAACCAAGGTCATCCCCAGTTAGTACTTGGATGGGAAAGTGTCAATGAATACCAGGTGCTGTAGGTTATATTTCAGAAGAAGGAACTGGTAAAACCACCTCTGAGTATTCCTTGCTTAAGAAAACCCTATGAAATTCATGGGGGCACCATAAGTCAACAGGTGACCTGAAGGCATACACCAACACACACACACACACACACACACACACACACTGAAAAAACTGGGGAGCAACTGGTTCCTCCCCTCCCTTCCTCCCCACAGTGCCTGTGTACTGGGAGTTGGGAGATGTATGAGATGTAAATTTGTGTGTGGCAGTGGGAAATCAACTGCCAGGGAAGTGGCTCACAAAGGGGAGGGGAAAGGGACTTAAGCCACTTCCCTGGGACCAACATGTCCCTACTTGTCAGTAGAGGAGAAGATGGGTGCCTGCAAGCCACATGTGTAGCTTAAGTTTTACTCTTGCAGATCTTGCTTGGCCATAGCTGACTTTGGGACAGTTGCCTGTTCTTCATTCTTCTTAGTCTCAAGACAGACTAGGGCTAAAAAATAGTCAGAGTATAGGATCTTTGTTAGTGCTGAGTAAAAAGGAACTGCAGTTTCCTGGGACTCTGAAAAATTTAGTGGCAAAAAACCCAAGAGTTGTTGATTGTGTGCGTGCAGCAGTCCAGCTGGTGGTAGAAGGGAGTGGAAAGGGACAGGGAGAACAGCTGCTCTATGCTGTCTGAGGAGTTTATCACACGGGGGAAAATTGGAAGTATAAATAGTGATTAACCTGTGATTAACCCAAATTACACAAATGGTTTTCACACACAAAGCACTGTTATCCCATGAAGAATCCATGATTGACCTGCGCTTACGTGCAAATGCGCAAATGTTTTTCACACAACATTGAGGCGAAATGTGATTAAAGTGCCATTATCCCGTGAAGAACCCAGCAAGAAACAACAGTAACTCATTCACAGAATTTTCCCATGAATTACTTTTTGCTGTTTCTTGGCTGGTTATTCCCTGGTTCTTCATGGGATAATGGCACTTGTGTTAATGTCATTTTAAGCACATTTTAATGTCAGTTGCATGATTTTCATGGGTTAATCATTGTTTAAACTCCCATTGATAAACTCCTGAATTTGCTAGTGTGCTCCAGACCTTTCTTCTTGCCATCTTCACATATGCAGCTTCCCAAGTCCTAAAAGCACCAGATTGAGCTCTAGTTGTATCAATTTTAGAAGAGTTGGTGGCCATCATGTCCCTCATAGCCAAGCTTGGTTATTTCAGTAACTCTGCCTCATTTGCTGCCTTGAGACTCTTGCTGTTGTCACCTGGAGCCTCTGAAGAATTTTCTTACTCCCAAACCTGGTCCCATTACGTTGTGGTTTGAAGAAGTGCAATATCTGACACTGCACTAGCTGCTTTGTTTCTTCCTAGCATGGTGTCAAAGCAAATAACAGCAGTTGGTTAATCTCCCTGTCTTCACTGACACAAGGAGTGGGATTCCAAAGGTTTAAGACTGCTATATTTTGTGTGATCACAGTTCTTTCTCAGTCACCTCCTCAACTGTGGAAATTCCTTATTGCAGCTCATTCAAAGCCCAGCTTTTTAGCTGGGGCAGGAGGCTTCCCAGCATTAAATAAGCAGTGGTGGTTTTTCTTGCATCGCTGCAGTGTTGGTTGGAATTTGAGCCTTTGCTACTTACTTATGTGCTAAGAGCCCGCCAACCTTAACCACACCAGCCATTTGGAAAACCTGTGAACCATGTTTACCTACCCTTATGGACCACATTCCTTTGATCTACTGTTCCTTTTCTGCCACAGTGGCTTCAGTCCTAGTGAAACCACAATGGAAGATCTCTGCCCCCCCCCCACTCCTCCTCCTTCCCTCCCCTGAGGCTTCTTAGCTTTGTTCTGCTCAAGAAAAGGGGTACAGGTTGAGTCTCCCTTACCTAGAATTCCAAAATCCAGAACATTCCAAAATCTAAAATCACCCACATTGGTGGGTGGTTGAGATAGGAAAACCTTTGCTTTCTAGTAATTCAGTGTACACAAACTTTGTTTCATGCACAAAATTATTAAAAGTATTATGTATAAAATTACCTTCAGGCTATGTGTATAAGGTGTATACAAAACATAAATGAATTTCATGTTTAGACTTGGGTCCCATCTCCAAGATAGTTTATTATGTGTCTGCAAATACTCCAAAATTTAAAAAAAAATCCAAATTCCAAAACACTTCTGGTCCCAAGCATCATGGATAAGAGAGACTCAACCTGTAGTAGTACCTCAGGTTTTTCTTATTGGAAAAGAAAGAAGTTGGTATTATTTTTATGTTCCAGTGACTCAGTCAAGACAGTCTACTTAGAATCATAGAATCACAGAATCATAGAATCATAGAGTTGGAAGAGACCACAAGGGCCATCCAGTCCAACCCCCTGCCATGCAGGAACTCCCAAACAAGCAGACATTTGTAGAAGCAGACATTTGCCTTTCCTAACCATGGGCCATCCAGCTGTGTTAGACTGCATTAGCCAGGTGACATGGGATGATGGGAGTTGTAGTCCAACATATTTAGAGGGTACTGTGTTGGGAAAGGCTGAAATAAACCCTCTCCCTTTCTTTCTTGGGTATGTTTGGGGCAGGAGGGTGTGAGACATATGTCTGCCAAAAGGAATTATGGAGTATTGTCCTTGCAACTCTGGAGAGGCCTGCCACTCATAAAGGAGGAGCAGCAGTCCAGAGACTTCCTGTAATGGGATATTCAAAATCTTCTCCCCTCTTCCCCACCCCATGCTATCACTTATCTCCCCCCCACCCCATTGTTTCTTTTTCTATGGCACATACATTGATTCAAGTGGAGCCAAGCAGTGTCAGTTTTGTTCAGCTCACCAGCTCCATCCATCAGATAATTTATAGGCCTGTCACAGCCGCTGTTGTTTTTTTTTTTAAAGCAAACTCTCTCTCCTTGTTTTTTCTTTTTCTTTTTGGAGGGTGTCTTTTGAGCAGGCAAGTTGGTGAAAAAGGAACCGACAGTGTAAATCAGGCTTGCTACTGAAATCCCTTGCTGAACATCATTCCTTTTGCCTCCCTGACAGACAGCTCTTCCCCAGAGGAGGACTACAAGGCTGCCTGTCTGCTGCTGGTCTTTGTAGCTGTGTGTCTGCCACTCCTGACCAACGATCCTTCCTCAGTTTATACCACCGACATAGAGGGTAAGATTGAGAGAGAGACGCAAGGGGCAGGATTTCAGTGTCCTCCTCAAAGCTGCAATACTGATCTACTCACTCATGCATGTACATATGCACTCTGAAAAACAGAGAGGTGTGCCAAGGGTGTTACCGTAGTCATGCTGGCTCTAGCAGGGGTTGCTTTTCGTGTAGCACCTCCTATGTTTAGGATGCTTAAGATATAGATGTTAACAGTATATATAAGCTAGAGTTCTCTCCAACTGTAGCATGGCTTAAGAATTACTCACAATTGAGGATGAGGCTATAGAGCCAGGGTGGGCTAGTGGTTGAGTGCTAACTATGACTCTGGAGGCCAGGGTTCAAATCCCTGCTCAAACTTATAAACCCACTGGGTGACCTTGGCAAGTCATACTCTCTCAGCCTCAGAGGATGGCAATGGCAAACCCCCTCTAAAGAAATTTGCCAAGAAAATCCCATGATAGGTTTGCCTTAGGAATGCTATAGATTGGAAATAACTTGAAGGCACCATGACAACCAATATGTCAATAAGAGGCAGGGTTGTAGCTGAAGGGAACAGGTTTAACCCTCATGGCATCTCTGACAGAAGGTTTTGCTTTCTCCTATTTAACTGAGAGGTAGTCTGACATAATGGTTGGAGTGTTCAACTAAGTGTGGAGATCAGAGTTCAAATTCCCACTCACTCATGAAACTTTTTAGAGAATGTTGGAGAGGTCAGTCTTTCTGCTCTATGGTTTAGATAGCGCCATCTGCTGTCTGTTTTTTTTTTCCATGAGAAATTGGGTGGCCTGTTGGAAGCATATTTCTTAAAAGGATGTGTTTTATTGTAACAAGTAATTTGACTATTAGAGGTGGGCAAAATTTGGTCCTGGCCCAGGTGTGGTTGCCAAATATGAATTTCTAGCCACTTCCATTTTTGGTTAGGTTTTGGGAAACCATGCATACCCCTCCCAAAAGCCCCTGGGCCATAAAATTGGTCCCTGGACCCAAGGCTATTGCCTGCCCTTGTCTTTGTGTGTTTTTACCCTGTTATGCATCCATTTTGTACCGCTATATTGCTTTACATTCCCCTCACCTCTCTATAAAACAGTTTTAGATTGGTAACATTATAGTTGTACCTGCCCATTGGATAGATTCTTATTTTGTGAGGGTGTATTTTTGTGAGAATTATTTTGTGAGAATTCTTTGTGAGATATCACTACCCAGAGGGATTTCCTAGCGCACCCCCATGCAATACCCAATTGGAATCAGAAAAATCACATTAGAGCCCAGGAAGAAAAAGTAACCTGAGCATGCCAGAGAGGAGAAGGGTTGTTTTTAAAATTTCTCCATTTGGATCTGTTGTTTCCCTTCCAAATACACCTCTTCCTTTCAAGAAATGCTTAGCAGAGAGGCACCAAGGCTCAAACTTCTCTCCATGTTGTTGCTGTCTGCCTTCAAGTTGTATCTGACTTATGGCAACCCTAAGGTGAATCCATCATGGAGTTTTCTTGACAAGATTTGTTCAGAGGGGGTTTGCCATGCCTTTCCTCTGAAGCTGAGAGAGCACAGGAATGTAAACTCTGAACAGAACTCAAGCCACTATAGCACACTGGCTCTCTATAGACTCCAGAAATGCAATGGCCAGTCTCAAAGGTTTCTTATTTTTTGAGCCAACAGTTACCAGCCACTTGAATTTTTGAAACCCTTCCATAACCCCTTTGCAGTTATGCAGTGCCCATATTATTTGTGAACCAGAATGGACATACTGACTAGGGAATGGGAACTGTAATCCAACACATCTCAAGGAGCACTAGGTTGGGAAAGCCTGTTTAAAACATTTGGCACTTGAATGGATGACTCTCTTTTTCTGTAGGCTATAACAACAACATCCACTGCTTAGCCAAAGCCATCATCCAGGTGTCAGCTGCCCTCTTCACTGTCTACAACAAGAACATTGAGACTCACCTCAAAGAATTCCTAATGGTGAGAAAAGCTCTTCTTCATTTCTTGTACAAAGTTCATCTGCTGGCTTTGTGGGCCACAAGGATCTGGACTTATTATTTTATTTTATTAATCACAAAATAGCCTCCAAAGTCCTTTATTTTTTCCCCAAAGCAATGTAATGCTGCTGAGAAATATAAGGTGCTATGAAGAGTGAAGTTTCTTGTGTAATTCATGGCCTGTGTTTTAGACCATGGACATAGTGAGTCTGGACAACAAAAGCTGTGGCTTTTGTTACACAGTTGCTAAAAGAGTTGAACCAGGAGCCAAGAGATTACTGGTTCAAACTTTTTTTACCATGAATTCATAATACAATCATATATCTGTATGTGTCTGTGCAGAATAAATTGCATTGAGTTCAGCGGTGCACACTCCAAGAGGATATAGAGTTGCAGACTTAGCCACCCTTCAACAGGTCTCAGCATTCCAATTTGCAATATGGGTAGAGTGGTGGTGGTTGTGGTGATAATGACAAGGATAATGATGATGATGACAATATGATGATGATGATGATGATGATGCTCAACTATCTTCCAAGGTTGTTGTGGCAATGTATGTGAAACACTTATTCACAGTCAGTATAGGTACAGTTATACCTTAGTTATCAAAGGAAATGTGTCCCTGGGCTTTACTTCTTTAACAGAAACTTTGCTACCAGAGGCAGAAATAAGACAGAAGGGATAGGGATAGGTTCTTAAACCACAAAAATGAAAAGCAAGTCAACAAGTTTCAGCTATTTTAATTCAAAACTAACATTAGACACATGTGAAATGAAACAACCTGATCAGATGTGCCTTGCATACATTTTTTAAAAATGTGAATCTTCTAGAGAGTACTTGAAAGCTACTTCCAAAATGCATCCTTCCAAAATGCCATTTCCCCCCTTTCCAGAGCCTCCACTTTTCTTATGATTTCCATTTTGTTGGTGAAACTTAGGACCTTATCACACGGGGTCTAAAGCAGTGCCATCCCCGTCCCATCCCCGTCCCATTGCGCTTCCTTACCCTGAAAGCAGCATCATTCCAGTAGCATTCCGGTTGCGGGAAATGTAATTCCCATTTACAACCGAAATTAAAAACAACGGGGATGATTCCGGATAATGCAGCATGATGCCGCATTGGGACGGGGATGGCACGGGGATGGCATGGAGACGGGCGCAATGTCGTGTGATCAGCCAGGGGCAGGAAGCGAGATAAGACCGGGATGCGATGGGGATGGGACGGGGATGGGCGGGGTTACCTTGCGACGTCGTGTGATCAGCCGAGGGCAGAAAGCGCGATAGGACTGGGAAGCGACGGGGATGCGACGGGGATGGGCGGGGTCTCCCTGCGACGTCGTGTGATCAGCCGAGGGCAGGAAGCGCGATAGGACCGGGAAGCGACGGGGATGCCACTGCTTCAGACCCCCGTGTGATAAGGTCCATATATATTTATGTTTTTCAACATACCAGGCTAGCTAGTGAGGCCAGCTAATCTTCTTTATCCTTTTCTTTCTGTTTTACTCTTCACACGTGCTCATTAAGTGATTCTGTAAACTGATGTTTATCTTGCCTGTTGTATATAAGCATACACAGCTACTGCAGGATTGCCTAGAGAAGAATCCCATTCTTTCCCAGGTCAAGGTTTATTGCATTGTTTACTGCAGAAACACTGCTGCCACCCAACACTGAAAGTCTGTTTTTTTCCCATTCTTCCTTCATCATCCTATGAATGCCAGTGCTGCAAAAAAGCTTTCAGCCTAGACCAGTGGTTCTCAAACTGTGGGGCAGAACCGTGGGGGGGGGGAGGGGGAGTTGCTCAAGGACGGCATGAGACTGATCCCTCCTCCTCCATTTCCCAAACTTTTTTTTATCCTGGAGGGGAAGAGAAAAGCAAGGAGGATGTTTGGAGCCTCTGAATGAGGGAGGAGGAGAAACAGGAGAGCTATTTCCTTATAAAATATTGAAATATGAATATACAATCAACTCTTCTTATCCACAGATTCTACATCCATGGATTCCAACATGCATGGCTTAAAAATACCCCTCCCCCCATAAGTTTCAAAATGTAAACCTTGATTTTGCTATTTTATATAAGGAACATCATTTTAATGTGCCATTATACATAATGAGACTTCAGAGATTATTGCACATGAAATCCGTGCCAAATCCATTCTGGGTTACATGCAAGTTGTAGCCTTCTGTGACGGATCTTACTGCATTGCTCTGTGCCCGGGCAATAGGCAGCCCATATCCAACCTGGGCTTCTCCCACAGCTTTTCATGAATGGGATTTTCTTGTTCATGAAAAGCTGCCAGAGAAGCCTGGGTTAGATACGGGCTGCCTACTGCCCAGGCACTGAACAATGCAATAAAATCTGTTACTGACAGTTACAAGCCGCATGTAACCCGGTGCTGATCCAGCAGGGATTTCACATGCGATAATCTCCTTGAGCATGCACAGATTTTGGTCTTTATGGTGTGTGTGTGTGTGTGTGGGTGTGTGGGTGTCCTGGAACCAAATCCCAAGGGTCCACTGTACATGAAAGTGTGAATGAAAATAAACACAATAAACAAAGAAAACATTCATATACTATGTTGAGCTGTTATGTGTGTGTGACATCTGCATGTAGATATAAAGAAGGTCACAAGGGTAAAAAGTCTGAGAACTACTGAGATAGATGGAAGACAAGAAAAGGGGGGTGGGCAGGGTCCCATAAAAAGACCTTGTTACCTCACTTAACAAAGCCTCCTTTTTGCAGCTTCTTTGTCAGAGTCTTACTGAGCTATGCTTGTATAACCAGTTAGTATTAAAACTTACCATTTCATTCATTCCTAGCTAAAGCTGCTCTGCAGCCTGTATCTTTGAGATATGTGAGTAGACTGGAGCCCAGAGAAAGAGGAAATGCAGGAAATATGAGAATTAGGGGAATAACTGACTCTAAAAAACTTCCTCTTGTTGGAGTCTTTTGATTTTGCTTTAACCTGTTTTATAACATAACACTTTGTGTATTTACTTGGAAGTAAGTTTCATGTTTCCAGTGGCATCACTAGGGTTGGTGTAACTCAGTGTGTCACTTCTCTCATTGACCTTCTCCCATACCACACCATACAGAATCCTTAATAATGTGTTTTTTACTAATGTTACTCATAAATTCTAATTTCCATATATCACTGAATGGAATGGCAGTAGTAGTTACATAAAAAACTAGCAAAATTAAAATTATATCTTTAAATTACAACATCACACACACAGCCTAAATAGATTTACATGTACCGGTACATAATTCCATTGGTTAAAGTTAAAATTTGGTAAGAAGTAATGTTTTTAATTTTAAAAAAAAAGAGTGAAGGGTTTTTTTATACAAATAAAAACCCTGAGGCCTCTCCTTTCTCCACCC